TGGAATCCTGCTTCAAACACCTTGGACAAGAAATGCATCATCAGACTCTATTCTCTCACCAGTAAAACTGAGATGACATTATTACCTACCTCAAATACTTTGTGAAATAAATTAATACAAATTTGATGCTGCATGAGGATACAATTAATGCATTGTCAAGACCATAATAAGTCTTCAATAAACAGGGTATCTGTTTGTTGGTTTTACTTTCCTCTTGTAATTTGGCAGGGAATTTTATCTAAGTCAGGGAAGAGTGCATCATCCTTATTGTTTCTGAAACAGTTCTGTCATTTGCAGAACACGGATAGAAATTCTTCCTCTGTAATTTGGTTCAGTGTGAATAAAATCTAAAAGTTGTACAAATACAATATTTTTTCTTTTTATTGCTAATGTTATTATTATTACTGCTAGTAATAGTAGTATTACAGTGACCTCTGGAGTGAGAATACATTGTTAGCCACTCCTTCCTTGCTTAGGTTCCTGAACCTCTTGACCTTCCCAAGTGATCTAGAAGTGAATCTGACATTGGTGGTCTCAAGAGTCATTTATGCACAAAAGAAGAGTTGTGTTGCTTTGACACTTAGTATTAGATTTAGAAGTGGCATGAGTCCTAAACAAATGTCAAACAAAAACATAATATTTGAAGTTAAAATAATGGTCTTTTCATCAGAGAAACAGATATACCAAATACAGAATATATAACCAGATGTACTCCCGAGACTGTATCCACTCATATCTTCTCTATGAATTGTGAGCAAACTGTTCTGTTTTCTGTTAGCTCATTTTTTCTTCCTCCCTCTCTCTCTTCCTTCCTATTTAAGGAAAAAACTACTATTGAAGTAATTTTAGGTGCAAGTCAGCCAGGCAGGAGTAGGCAAAAGCAAGAAATCATGCAAGCCCTAATCTTCTTGATCTATACATGCTAGTATAGGAACTGAATTAGAAATATAAAAAGTCAATAGACAAGATAATTACTTGTTAAACTCAAACAACAATGTAGAATTGGCATGTCTCTCTGTAGTCTTAAGATGGTTACCCCAAATTAGTTAAAGAGGAGTTATCTGTAAGGCAGAGAAATTGTTATGACAAGAAAACATAATTCCATAAAGTGGGAATGAAATGAGCAAAAGGATAAGATAGCAGAATTTATCTTCCCAAAGTTGAGAGCTCTGGTCTTAGCACGCTTGCAAGAAAAAAACAAGACAATAAACCATTTGTAATTTGTTGATAATGGTCAATCTTTTTCTTCATAAGAATCATGAATATGGTTACACTGCACAGCCTGTTGACGGAGGGTTCACTGTCAAGGTATTGATCACTTTTGGCTATAGGTCTGACCAGCTGCTATGGTCAAAGTCCTGATGTAAACAGAAGTCGAGGAAGGGCCCACATAATTGACAATGTCTACTGGTATTCAGTCTACATCTAGTGATCTAATTATGTTACATCACTTTTTGAGGTCATGGCAGATCAATCATGTAGAGAGTCATCTTGTTAGGAACTCTTTCAGAGGCAAATGTTCTTACACAACAAGTCATTGCTCATCTCTGGAATTTTCTTTATGTCGCTAGAATGTTAAATCCTGGGCCAAAGTTAGTGAACATTCTTAATGTTTTTGGCACATGGGAAGAATTTGCAAAAATAAATATACCTACTAATACTCTCATTATTAGTTTATTCACCAAATATTTGCTAATCCCTCATATTATTTTTTAGAATCACATCATATTCAAAACCACTTTCTCTTTTGTGTCAGCATGCATGTATGACAGCCAGAGAAGAGCACTGCTTGGATTTCCTTCAAGAACTTGCCAGCCAAAACTTTGCTCATGCCAGGCACATCTCAACTCATGACTGAGTAGAGTGGAGGAAATTAGAGTCTGGACATCTATGTGTAGCATTAGACTCCTAAGGGTGATCATGGCTCTAGGGATTCTGTGGGTTTGGCTCAAGTGTTGTTGGGTCTGCCTTGCCCAATCGTACTTCTTGTCCTCTTTTCTTGTTAGGGTAGCAGATTTGCATCCAATGACTGGACTTCTCTACTAAGCTTGTGTCTTGCCTCCGTTATCTTTCACAGTCATAAACTCCCAACTTGCATTCCTAACTGTCTTGGTATCTGTTTAAGAGTATCCAACTTACACACATTTTTGGTCATCACATAATGTTTTTGATTTCCATATGCTTGTAAAATTAAAATTTCACATGTTCAATGCTGTCTGTCCATTTTGTCTATATTTTTCTAAAACAAACATTTTAAACTGTGATCTTTATTTGTTTCTGAATAGTTCAAATTCTCTCCTCTCTCTCTCTCTCTCTCTCTCTCTCTCTCTCTCACTCACACACACACACACACACACACATTCAATATCAGTCTCAAACTAATATTTTTTTCAGTACTACTGTTTGAACTGAGAACCTCATGCTTTCTAAGAAAGATCTCTACCACTTCAACCATGTCACCAGGCTTTTTTGCTTTAGATTTTTTTTTTTAATAATAGAATCTTCCATTTTTACCTGCGTAGGCCTGAATTATGATCCTCCTATTTACACCTCCTGTGTGGCTGAGATGATAGGGATATACCACTATGCCCAACTTACTCACTGAGATGAGAACCCTGCTATCTATTGCCCAGGCTCATGTGAACCACAATCCTCCCATCTCTGCATCTCCAGTAACCAGTATTATAAATTGAGATACAATGTCTACTACCAAAGCAATTATAAAAAAAAGAAAAGAGGCTTTCACAGAGTCAAATTTAGATTTTATGGAATAGCAAACCCCTTTTTTTCATTTCATTTGAATATACTAGTACACTTGTAATTATGCAAACATTTACACAAAAGAATATGCATTTTTCTTTTATACACATATGCTTCAGCTATCAAAATTAGGCTTATTTTTTATTGATTACTGTATTTAGCTGCCATTTTCAATTGAAATGCAATTATATTTGTTTGAAACCTCAACCTCACTCTTTCACCACTTAGTAAAGCAACTACCATGTAAATTCTTCAAACATCAATTATCTCCATAACAGTATTTATAACAGAGCCAGAATAAACTTCCTAAAATATAAATAAGTCAGAGAATGTTATATATGTCAAATTGGAAGTGATAAATTTTAAATTGATGTGTGTTGAAATAGATACTCATTATGCTGGGTAGAATGTAAATACTAAATCTTGCTAACAACTTCTAATTAAGCAAATAGTAAATAGATCAGTGAAACTTCTAACTTCAAAAGTAGCTTTAGTTACCCATACTTCACAGACATAAATTATTTACAGAACATCAGCATGCTCCCTTTATTTATGTTGAAAAAAAATCTGTCTTCCAAATACATTGTGAGACACTAGCAAGATGAAGCTAGCTTGTGTAATTTTTTTCTCCCTATGCCTAACTCAGTGCTTGCACATAGTGAATGTTCAATGGATTTAATAACTATTATACTGGAAATGGTAACAAGGCCCACGTGAACAAATTGTCAAAAAGAAAAGGAAGACACAATTCAATGCCACCTGGGCAATCACATTTCTGTCTTATGGAAGCCCCTGTCCCACAAAGATTGTCTGTGAAAAGTGAAGTTCAAAGAAATCTAAAAAAAAGTTTGAAATTAGGGACCTGAATGTGAATCCCAATTCTGCCATTGTAATTTTGGCCAAGAAATAGTCTAATCTCCAGATTTATTTTCTTTAAAGCCCAGAATTAACTACTTGCTCTGCCACTTCTTCAGGGTTATTGAACAGCATAAATGAAAAAATGTTTACAATTCACTTCCATTTTGGCTGATGAAGAATTTATAATCATAGCCCAAATTAATGCATTTTATAAGAGTGCTTTTCTGTTTCCAAATCTAAGTTCACTTTTGAGCCATGACCTATTTATATATAACTGTACATTTCCTTACTTTTAAATGCATGAGGATTTTACTCTTTGAATTAAAAAAAGCACAGAGAAGCTTTCAATTTTTAATTTAATTAATAATTGACTTTAATGGCAAGTCAGAGAAATTTATCTCAATAGTGCTGAAAACTCATGAATCAAAGAAAAAATAATATATGTGTATGTGCTTATAAGCTGAATTTTTCTCTTTAGAAATTTAAAGACAAAACCACGAGACAGAGAAAAATACAAAAAAGAGATATTATTTCTAATAATTGTTATTCAATAAAAATTTTTAGATATGTTACAACAAAGCCCAGGAAGGCTTAAAATAATCTAAACTAAATAGATTTAATCTCTTAATATATTGTTAGAATAATTAAGAAGATATACCTTTATTTATAAAATCTGTTATGAAGTTATTTCCAAAACGGTTTTTAAAGGGTTTTGTGAATATATGTTTGTGTATGCTTAAGTTCTTAATTGTATTTTTAAGTAATTTACTTCATGATTTTTAAAATATTTACCTCTAGACCTCAGAATATTCATTTGACTTCATATTGGCCATATAATATCTTCATAATAGATCAAATGGGTAGGAATAGATATTCTGCTTTACAAAGGAGGAATCTAACTCCAATGTAATAATTTCTAACATGTATTTAAGGTTATCATGTGGTATGCACTTCACGTTTGATATTCATTGCTTCATCTAATCTTTAAACATTAATGGGCTGGCATATTCCATACTCATTTTATAGAAAAGAAGTTGAAATTTAAAAAGTTACTAGTCAAGCATCACACATCCAATAATTAGCTGAATTTATATTTCAATCTGATATTTAAATGTGTCTAATGTGTCAGCACCGTTTCCCCCTTTATTTTATAATGAAAATGGTGTTAGACCAACTGTGGTAGTCTAAACAGGTTCTGCAATTCATTTTAATCAGTATCAAGATAACCGTGCAGCTTACCAAGATCCTCACAATACACATTCAAATATTATTGGTACTGGCAGTGAAATACTTAACTATAATATTTCATAATCCAAATCCCAAGAAAAGCATTTCCCTGAAGCAAAAACATAGTAAATAGAATTCAAATTTAGGCCACAAACCTGTTTCAGGTTCAATGGAGAAATAAGGCTGCCCTTCCAAGATACTATAAACTAACTTTGCACTGTTTCCATAAACCGGGTCATCAGCATCGGTAGCTGTTACATTTGTGACAGACGTGCCTAATAAAAAAGAGAGCACAAAGAGCAATAATTAACACATTATTCTTTGCCAAGAGCTATGTTTTTCCAAGCATATCATAGACAAATCTGCAGGTAAGAATAAAAGTGGAAAGAAATCTCTTTTAAAAGATGGAGATAAACTGCTTTGTTATAACTTCAACAATATCCAATTCTTGTAAAAGAAGGGGTAAAGCTAGGAGAACTGTGTGAAAAAGTCCCTTTCATACCTGAATTACTTAAGATTCCTTTATAGTTTTCATTTTAAAGATACCTATTAGATTTGTGTGGGCTTAGAGAATATGCAAAGGAATCATATCAAAGGAATATGAAACATAAGGTTAATAATATAACATAGCATGCAAAAGCAAAACTGAATGTACCTGGGAAAATTGACTGCTGTAAAAAAGCTGTGCAGAAATATTAAAGGAATATTTTATCCTATTGCATTTAATTCCTTAGAATACAATATTGGATAGGAAAAACCAATTAATTAGCAGGCTTAGATAATTAGGACCATTGATAGTAGAATCAAACCCTTCTTTTCAGATTAATATGCTGTGTTTTTCTTCATTTATTCATGGGACAATTGAGAACATACAGTTTACCTGAACTGAAATGTATATTTAAAAAAATCCTCTATGCTCAACCTTACAGTTTGGTGGCAAGGAAGAGAAAAATAGACAAATATGCACAGAAATTCAGATGAACGCATAGCACCTATGGGTCACTTATTTGGTTCGGTACACAGGGTTGTCTAGGAAAGACTTCTAAGAGAGGTTACGGTGAAGTGAAGCATTGGAGAACTGTCACGCTTTACCAGGAAAGAGGCAGGGAAGCAATACCATTCAATGAATCAAGTGTAAATGAAGGCAAAGTTTGATCACAGGACAGTCTGAGAACTTGTGAAATTGTGGAGAACCTGGAGAATTCCGGAACAGTGATAAGGATCAGGGGCTTTGTGGGCAGGGACAATGTCTTCCTCCTCCAGTATGCAACAGACACATAGTAATTACTGAAATTACATTTATTAATTAAATAAGTGGATAAGTGAACATATTATCTCATGATTTAACCAAGAAATGCAGGTAGGTGTCACAAATCCGTTACTTGGAAAAACAGATGTGGCAAAAAATATGTTTTAGTGAATTTTTACTGGAGAGTACTTGTGATTGTTCTCTATGAGGAAGAAAAAAGAACCATTGTGGACAGAAGAACCACTTGGGTTGTGATGTATTTCTTCACAAAGGCTACAGTAGGTTCTTCGGGCTCTGTATCTGGGCTGCTCATTGGGGAAATGGGGTTAGGCCTTCTCAATCCATCAATAAAGAACTGTGGGGCATGAGATGTCCCTGAGCATGCAGCTCTAGCATTGGTCCAGGCAACCCTCTTCATCCAAGGGAAAGGATCATCAGCCGCAAACTGTCAATAGTCAATGCAGCCAGCACATGGAGGAAGGGTGTTTTAACATTGAAGGAGAGAAAGGATTTATCGGAGCTACATACCTCTGTGATAACTGAAATAGGGTAGATCTCTTGCAATAATCTTGCCAATCAAAATCTATTTGAAATGTTTAAAATAGCAGTCACTATTCAGCAAAAGTAACAGCAATATCTGTGGAGCAGTCAATAATCCTATGAAACTGGAATTCCTACTCAGAATGATGACTTAGAAGTTTTACAAAATCTGGAGTTAGGAAAAAATGTACTGAATGCTTCTTGTGTAACACACTCCACTATACTTTGGGAACAACATATACACATTTCATGTCTGTGTAATTTTATGATTGTGTATGTAAATTTATACTCACTTTCACAGGTAACATCAATCTTATTGGTGATACTAAACATATGAAAGTATAATGTTTGTAGTTATTTGAAAATTACATGGCATGAGAAGAATTTGGGGCAAAACAGTCTGGGAAAGAGGAAGATGGAAAGAAGGGCCGATACAACTGCAGAAGAAGAGATGGCAGTTATCCAAACTCATGCTGGAGTTTCAAACTGAGAACAAAACGAAGGGGACATCTAAATGCCAAAATGCAGAGTGTTGGATTTACCATCTAGGACACAAGGATGTTACTTCAGGGAAATAGTAATCTTATGTTGTGCCCACAATCAGTGTGCCCAGATTCAATTGAAGATAGAGACAGAAGGTTAGGAGAGCACACTACATGTGAAATTATAGCCATGGTTCAGTTAAGAGATGATAAAACACTAGCACTCTGTAGTGATAAAAATAGGTGTCCAATGTTAATTTTCTTGTTTTGATCTCTATGCTAAGATTATAAGCTAAAAACAAACTGAGTGTGCGGTTGCCATGGGTCTCATCTAAAATTCAGGTGTTGCGAATGTGATGATATAAAGAAGTGGGCTCTTTCATGGGTCCCAACAGGTCATCAAGGCTCTTTCTTGTCTTGCCCTTTACCTTCTGCCCTCTGTGGATACCTCCTACCTTAGTTCCACATGATGCAGAAAGGAGACTTTTGCTGGAAGCCAGAAACTTGAACTAGGACTTCTCAGACTCTCAAACTATGAGAAAATAAATTTCTGTTCTTTGTGTGTTATCTGGTCTCAGGTATTCCAATATAGCACAAAACAATGGACTGAGACAGAAGCATACAGTAGCTATTTTTGTAACTGTTTTATAAGTCTATAATTAGTTCAATAAAAGTTAAGGAAAAGAATGTGAATAGCAAGAAAATAGATCCAAGTGATACAGAAAGAACTAGAAAGAAAGGGAAAGCTCTTCTGAATGTCACATAAAAACTTTATTTTGCTTTGTGTGGTTGTCTTGTATTTTTACTTTGACTTCAAAGGAAAACTTCTGCTCCTCCATTATCAAGTAAAATGTTACCAGAAAGAAATGAAGTCAATGTTTAACATTCAATAGGATATTATGTCTAGGCATTCTTTTCCAGTCACAGACTAGGATCTGGGAAAAAAAGAAATGAATAGTCAAAAATTATCTGTTCTTGTTAAATTGCCTTCTAGGTGGTAATTTAAATTAAGGAATCTGTTCATAAAAAAACAAATGAATCCAAATATTTTCTGATGGACCTGATCACTGCATAAATCTGTAAGACAGGTGTGTTTTGGCAGTTTATGGTTTTGCATATATAACAGGTCTATCTTGTTCTGAAGCACTTATCTCTATCTCCTTGGGCAAATCATTTAACCTTTCATGGTTTCAGACTGAAGTCTACCATATACATATTAGTATGATTTTGAGAAGTAAGCAAAATAATGTATACAGGTGCTTAGCACAGAAATTATCATATGCTAAGCCTGTGAGCAACAACCCCGCCTTTGGATTAGACTCTAGCTTTGAAAAGTAGATCCCTAAGGCCCCTTCCAGGAAGATAAGACACAGACAGTGGTGGAGCACTTTTAAAAATCTTCTCTGACAAATCAATGTAAAACCATTATTCAAAACACACACAGGAGACACCAAACTTTAAAAATTTGACCTGCTTCTTTCTCCTTAGAGACATTACTTTGAAAAAAAATTCATAGATTTATTTGTAAAGTGAAACATGTTTGTAAACCATTTATACTTGATAAGTTTCATGGAGACCATTTCTTATTAACTGGAAGTGAGAATACTTTCTGGGAGTTTATTATTACAAGACAAGTGGTAGTCATTCTATTTCTGTGCTTATTGTAACTTGAGCCCATCTAACCAGGAGAGACAGCCCATCGAATGACTAGCACAAGAGTAAGGGGACAGGTTTCAACCATTTATGTGATCTGTGGTTCTGCCTTCCATATGCAAAGATGATCTTTTTTATTCTGCAAGCATCAAAATTTTGTATGAGGATCAAATGCATACTTGCATACTTATAGGAAGCATATAAGAGTGACTTAGAGAATAATTTTGGAATAAAACTGCCTTGAACCAGAACATTTGCTTGATACTCAATTTCCAAATTTTACTTATTCTTGGCCAAATAGCAAAACTTTTTGAAGCTTTGATTTCTTAATCTGTAAAAAAGAAAATGGATAGTTATTACATCACACACTTGGTGAGATAATTAAATGAAATTATTCACACAAAAATACAGAAGAGTTGTTGACACTTGATATTTTTAAGAGCTTACTGTTACTCTTGTAGGAAGTATGTGTGTGTGTGCAAGTGAAACTGTATAACAAACTATTTTACAACTCTAAATGGTAGTAAACATTTTAGTTTATATAATCGACTATCTTTTTCATAATGGCTTTAATAGTAGTACATTTCCATATAAAACATTACAATATGAAGGTTAGATAGGGGGATAAGTTTTGCAGTTTTATATCACAGCAGAGAGACTATAATTAACAAAAATGTGTTATATGGCTTAACACAGTTAGAAAAGAGGATTTTAAATGCATTTGGCATAAAGAAGTGATAAAATTTGATGGTAAAAATACATTAATTAACCCTACTTTATCATTACCTAATAAATTATGAATGAAAATGTCACAATATGCCTCATAAATATATACAAATTTCATGTCAATCAAAATATAAATATAGTGATACACATGTATTTATTAAGACAGTATTCTCATTACTAAAATTTCCTGCAAGAAAACACATGCACACATACAACCTCACATTCTTCCATCCAATCTTCTTCCACTTTGAGAAAAAATTCTTCTGGGCTTAAAAGTTTTTAAGTTTTTAAGGCAGCAAGCTCAAAGGAAGTCACCAGGCACTTCATCCATACAAGTTTTTTGATGCTGTTGGAATGGATGGCATATTCTCCCATTCCATGCAAATCCCACACGATGGTGAAGGTGAACAATGGGGCTGGGGACCACGACAGAGTGAGACAAGCTTTTACCCACACACTCATCCAGGACATGTCTACCTGATGTATGGATTCCCAGAAATCCACATTCTTCAGCTTTAGACATCTGAAAATAAAAAGGCAGAACTACTTTCTGTCAGGGATGATATTTCTGCTAATAGTGACTCAAGACTGTTGATGTACCTGTACACTGGAATAGATGTGTGGG